TCAAAATATATATTATCTGGTAATATATTAACATAAAATTATTATGTTTTACTAAATAATTAAATTAAATGAATAAATGTCATAAAACAATTTCTAAACATTTATTATTTTATTTTTGTAACAAGAAAAAAAGTAAATTCACCAAGTTTAAAATATATATTATCTAGTAATATATGAACATAAAATTATTATGTTTTACTAAATAATCATTTTAATTGAATAAATGTCATAAAACCACCAAGTTTAAAATATATATTATCTAGTAATATATGAACATAAAATTATTATGTTTTACTAAATAATCATTTTAATTGAATAAATGTCATAAAACAATTTTTAAAAATTTTAAACCAAACGCATTTTCTAGTTTTCTGTTTTGAAAAACCGTTTTTCAAAATGACAAACCAAACACATTTTCTTTAATTCGAAAATAGTCCATCAAAACAGAAAACGCAAACCAGATGCACCCTAAGTTTTTTGGGAATAAGATTTGGTCATTTGTTCGGTATTTTCAATTAACAAGATCTTATTAAAAAAATACAGTATGATTTTTTTACACTTAAAACCTAAATGATGCAAAGCTCTCGAGCAATTTACTCGCACTTTTTGCAATAAGTACCTTTTCATATCACCACATCAGAGGAAATGAATACGTACCCAACACAAAACCAGCAAGTGGGATGTCAACTATAGATGATCTGGACTGAAGACTAGGTTGCAAAAATAGAGTTTTTCTTCTCTCTAATATAAGGATATAAACTGCCACAACCTGTCAAAGCAACTAAAGGTTAAACCAACGAAGTAGACTATAATAGCTTTAATAGTGATTGTGTAAGTGGAATATAATAATACACAAAAAATCAGAGAGAACAGGACTTCAATCAGCATGCAAGGAACAAATTTCTCCATTTAGCGTAACTTACCCTGGAATGAATTTGTACCGGTTTAAGATCTGGAAATTGCACAAGTTCAGATATCAAAGCTGTAGGTACAACATCATTTGGAGAGGCAACGATGTGTAAACGTACGGTGCCAGATGCGTAATCACATTCATCACTGAAATGGCGATGTATCAAACTAGTGTGGTGGATTGAGATAAAAGATACAGGTGTTACCATAAATTCATTCCGCCCACTGGGAAAAAAAACGCATTTGTTAAATTAGCCAGTCTGAAAGCAATGGCTTGATAAAAAGACAAAGAGAAAACATCTTGTTTCCAAGCAGGCCTGCAACTAGGAGCCTGACTAACAAAACAAAAACTGCACCATTAAAACGGATCATTAACTATATATAAAGCTATAAACAATATTTTAAACAGAGATTAAAGCAAATTTACAAGCACTGTTTAACATATTCCATAATCCCTCTGACAGAAACTAAGGACTTAATTTGACTTTCATGGTCAAATGGGCCATATTATAAGGCTTAATTTTTCATACATTGTTTAGTTTTGAGGGGAAGAAACATGCATGGTAAGTAAGTTTATCATTTGGAAACTACTCCGAACCTAAAAGGTAATTAGAAATGACGCAAAATATGGCCTCATACAATCTCTGTTTTAACTGAAAAGTGAAACCAAAGCCGTTTACGTTTCACTCAAGGAGTACAAAATTTTCTATAGTGAATAAAGAAAATTCCCATTTTGCTTTGGATGTTCTGTTTTCTCATTATAAGGAGATCTAATTACAAAAATTCTTTGGAGAAGAAATATAGCATTATATATGAAGTAGATCTGCAGAAATTAAAAAGCATAAGCTTGCACCCGAGAATTTTCAGAATTCAGCATATAAACTTAAAACACTGATACATCAGTGCCAAAAATAGTTATCATACTTAAAACAATGAGATAAAGATCAGAAGTTATGCATTCGGCCCAAAGCATTTGAGCAAAATTTAGACAATAATACCTAAGCACAAGAATTCGGTGAAAGGTTGCATACACGTCACTTCCTAATCCAATAGGGTAAGCACGTTTAGATAGATTGCCAAAAATTTTGACCTGGCCATTAGGGTAGTTTCAATTAGTAATAAAATTTGTATCAAATTGAAGACAGTAAGGGTAAGCAAGAAAATACTATGCGCTGGTCCACCAGAACATGCATACAAGTCCTTTCTCTTCCTTGGAGAAACATTGGAAGGCAACCAGTACTGTTTCCGTCAACTCTTATTTGTGCGGCAAAAGAATGATGATCACACTCATGAACAGCCACTACAAGTCCATGTAAAGATATTAAGTTCCCCTCAGGCAGAAGGTGACCAGAATGTGAAGTTCCTGATGATTGCATTGATGCAGTAATCATGGCCCCAGAACAAACATGAATATCTGATTCTTGTTCAAAAGGAAATGACGGCCCAATAATACAGCCTTCCAATAGTTTGATATCATTCTCCAATAAACTTAGAGCATCAGCAGGCACAAATATATTCATATCTGAATATATTTCATAATTCACACCATTAGATGTCAGACTTGGAATTTGAAAATGCTGGTAACCTTTAGAAATAACCTCATCACATCTGGCAGGTGAATTATGAGATGAAAACAGATAAGAGAAATCTGAACTTTGGAGACTCTTCAAATTTGAGAACCTAAGACTCCAAAGATGTGTCCCAGAATTGATGATAACTTTAGCACCAGTGACTACATTGTCTTCAATTACATTGCAAAACACATCTTCATCCTGATGTTTTACAATGTAAAGACCACCAATTTTCAGAAACTGCAATTTCAATAAATTCTTCAGCTTGAGTTAAATAGTGAACAAAAATAAAATACAGAAGATTACACCATCGCTAGTTATTAAAGGAACATAACGTACCTGATACGTGCAAAAGCTATCAGAATTGAACTCCATTATTACCTTCCTCGTATGAGGTTCAAAACCAGAAACAATCTCAGCATCTGACTTGCTGCAACGCAAGACTCCCCAGCAATGATATTTAGCATCTTTTTGACTAGTAATTAAACATGTATATTCTAGCGGGTTCTTAAAACAGCATTTGTCCTCTGTAGAATTGTTGTGAGAACTATAGGAACCATCCAGATGACTACAGACTCTATTCCCAGCATTATCCAAGCCAGCATCCGAAGACTGGCTCGAAGACAGATCAATTTTACACCTCTTACTAATAAAACGTTTCTCGCATCTAGTAAAATTTCTGAGAGAATCTCTTGGATGGTCCATGGAAATATCGGTCACGAGCGTACCTCTGTCCTTTTCTGCAAGAAGTAAATCCCAGGGAAGGATTATGGCCTCAGAAAAAATGTTTGACCACTTTGAAATAACTTGATCTCCTTGAAACTGAAAAAAATGGAAAAAAATGTGTATAAAGAAGAAAAAAGGAGACAAATCATAATATATTACATGCATTATTAACAAAAGCATACCTTGCATTGAATGGGAAATTTGTGTGTTAACATTAGCAAGTGAAATCTTCCACCTTCAAGTTCATCAAAGTTTTCTTTCCAATCAAAGAAAAGAGAACATGGATGATTTCTAGAATCTTCACCTGTTCTATGGCAGTAAATATAAAGTGATGTCTCCATCTTTCTCACCAATGGAGCATCATTAAAGATACTTTGGCAAGATAAAGAGTTATCCGAAAGAACATCCAAGTTAAGTGTCCTTTCAGGTATTCCTTCCATAACTACAATGAAGTCCTTCACCTGAAATGAGTGAAGATATAAGCCAGTCAGGAGGTAAACACATAACACCATCTGCACTTCAATTGATAACAGAAAGTTGTCTGACTGTACTGTTTAGATGCAAATCATCATCACCTCAAAAATCCTGTTAGACTTCCAAGTTGATGGAAGGTCACATACAACATCAATACTCCCAGTTGCATCAACAAGCTGAAATCTGCCAGAAGATGAAATCTGGATAAACAACATAATCCAAGTCAAACTAACAAATTTCAAGTTTCCAATGTTGGAGATTTGTAAATAATTATGTCCAAGCTTATGCTGATTACAATTTTTACAGGAACCTTGAATTGACTTCTCAAAATAATCAAAAGCTGAATAAGGAAGTGCTTCTACTCGAAATATGTATAAGTTCCTAAGAAAGCATCCATACATTTCTGCAAAAATATATTATTTCTATGTATGTGCAAGATTCAGGAAATACACATGAGCATGCGGCACCACATTGTAAGTCAACTTTCCACGCATCAAAGGTCATATGCCATGTAAAGAAAGAGCACAAAGCAATTTCAGACGAACAAAATTGCNGAATTTATTTATTTTTAAGGAAAAAACCAAGTACATAGAAATAGAGACATAAAACTAATTCATGCCTGATACTTCAAGAAAAATACATCACCATCTATATCTAAAATGAATATTAAGTCTTTTTGATAACTAAAATGACAAATAAGTTAACAACGAAAGTGGCATGTGCTTAACATGATTTCCGTTAAATGGAAACAATGTGATGCAATTTCTGAGATCTTCCACTACAGTATACATTTTCACTTGCCAACGTAATGGAACAGCACAAAATGGAGCATACAAAGTATCAAACATATAATATCATAAGAAGGCTATCAGAGTAAAACCTGCTCCAACTGTTTCATACATTCTGCACATTTAGGGTCATCAGGAACCATTTCAACTTCTTTCATAGCACACGTTGCACCAGTTTCACTATGAGGAGAAGAAAATATGTAAGCTTCTACAGCAGCACAAAATTAAAAGAATCATTGGTTAATTTACATACCGATGAGTTGCAACGTAAACACTTCCATATGTACCACGTCCTATGAGTCTTCCCTTTCTCCACTGGCCTTTCACTGATGAAATATCTGATTTATCTGAATTTTGAGAAGCAGTAGGTGACGGCCTAGAAACTCCAGGGGGAAGCGGTAATGGGTGTACGTGTGCATTACTACCTTCAGGCCAACTTTCTGGGAAAGATTTATTGCGTAAATGCATCAAATTTCCATTATGATTTACTGTATTTCTACATGGACTTTGAAGTGGTGAATGATCCGGGGTATGTCTTGGTGAATTTTGGCAAGATTTTGCTATTCTATCTGAAGGGGAAGACTCGAAAGCCAATGCTGAGACGTGGAAAAAATCTACAGTACTAAATCTTTTCGGGCTACGGATGGGACTTGAGTAACCACTGTTCGGAGCACTACACGTAGGAAATTGCAGTCGGAAGTTGTTCTGGGTAGTGTCCACGTTTAGCTCTTCAGGGAATTTTCTGAAACGATAAGTTGGAGATACAGATGATCTTCTGGCCAAATCTGTTGTCTTCCCCAAATTTTGATGAGAAGAACTGCTGCAAATAGAACATGATACACAAAATTTATCTTTAAACAGTCAACTATAAATAAGCCTACACAATCTTAGCCACAACTTTTGGAAACACGGAAAGAAATAATCACATAAGATAAAAACAATAATTTATAGCAATTTCATACCCTTTTTCTATCCTATTACTAGCAATTACATTCGTGTAGATAGATCAATTCAGTATACACAAAAGTATGGAAATATTCCTGATTTTCCACAAAAATCAAGTGTTTTACCTACTACTTAATAATCCAAGATTTCATGTATCTGATCAATAAACTATGTAAAAATTTGTACGCGCCAAAAACATCAATTAATATCAAGAAGAGGAATTGGTCAAACCTTTCAACTGCAGAGTTTGAATGACCCAAATCCCCTCTTCTTGGACCGTGCAAACTATCATTCAGCTTAGGCTGAGAATTCGATTCCGGAAGAGGCAGCGGTTGCGGCACCGCCGACTTTGACCAATGGCCGATATCGGCACGGCTGGGAGTATGAGACTCCGACTCTGGGCCCCAAGCAGAACACGAGTCCGGCGACACGGGACACGACTGTGACCTCTCATTAAAAACAGCAGACCGCAACCCTAATTCATCATCAGTTGCGTGCCTTAACTTCCTCTGCCTAGTCAGCTTCTTCCCCTGTCCATTATTTTTATTACTCGAATTCTTGAAAATATCGTTAGAGCTTTTGCTTTTACCCTTTAGTGGAGGATTTGAACGGGACGATGATGAAGAAGATGATGATAAAAATGCACTCCAAAGAGATGGCATAATTATTTTATAAAAATAAGTGTAAAAGCTTCAGAATTTTTTCATTTTGAAGAGGAGACATAAAAACCCAACTGCCTGCAAGTGCCTGATGGTGGTATTGATCGGGCATTGAAGAATAAAGGACGAGAAATTCATATGTATATATAATATATTTGTTTGTTTCCGCACATAGACCATTGGAGTCTTCACACATGTACAATTTCCATTGCAAAGCTTTTCTGCAAAGTCAATGTTGAAGAAAGTAGAGAACGCATTTTCGTGGAGGCCAGGGTTGAGTTTGACAAAATTGATAATTGAAAACTTGGTAAATAGAAACCTATTTATTAATATTAAAATTGTCAATTTTGAATATACGGTTATCTGCGCAAGTTTTGACTTGGTAAATGCCAGTTTATCTAATATCAAAATTTTCTATATTGGGCGCTTGCTCGGGATTGGGATGAGTATGTTC